AGAGAGAGAGAGAGAGAGAGAGAGAGAGAGAGAGAGAGAGAGAGGAGAGAGAGAGAGAGGAGAGAGAGAGAGAGAGAGAGAGAGAGAGAGAGAGAGAGAGAGAGAGAGAGAGAGAGAGAGAGAGAGAGAGAGAGAGAGAGGAGAGAGAGAAGAAAAAGAAAAGAGAGAAGAGAGATTTCATTCTGCAGATTAACTTTATGAAGGGCTCACCTACAATGCGGCACTCTCCCTCAAAAGAAGTGTTCCATGCTTGCATGGAGTTTTGAACTGATCTAGCCGTTTTTTAAATGTCGTTCCAGTGTATTTCACAGCTATGACCTTTTTTAGACCTAAAACCCGTTGTTTCTAAGCTTGAGTCCGCCGAACTTGTGTTGGCCATTGAAAGATCGGCCAGGAATTGCATGACGTCACAGAAACGTCACGCGAATACCGCCACCTCAATGGCCATGCAGTGCCCAGGATCAGTAAAATATCGATTCATTCGTGTCTGGCGTACGCCAGCACGATGCGCGGCTTTAACGAACATTATCTGGGCTTTTAAACAGTTTAGTGCGTTAAGTGCAAGTTTCGAACTCGAACCAGGTTTTGTGCTACATGATTCAGGGATTGGGCAGGTGACACATACTATGATGGAGATAAGACTGGGAAGCAGATGACTCCAAGGAAGTGTGTCTAATGTTTTCGGTTTTCTCAATACACGCATAAGATGGGTGACAATTATCTAGGGCTAATTTTAGTTGCTAAATGTGCATTTGCGTCTTACGGCAGCTGTGATCTATTTATTTTTATTGATCTTATCGATGGCTGTGCGTGAACAAGTGCAATCCTAAAAGATAAACCAATCAGCAAGCAGGAAAGGACGAATGCACTGGCTTAAATGTGGCAAGTAGCTGCGCGCTACAGACATGATCACTATTTCGGTTACCAGGTTACCTAGAACAGCCACATTTCCCTAGAGCCTGGTGCAGCCGATTGACACAACACAATGCTTGTTCCTCACCTCAGTATACAGTAGGCCGACGTGAATTGGTACGTATTAGCTGACCAGACTTACCATACGTCTAAACCCGTACAGTCGCAGCCTTTAGCTGAAGGTAACAAAATCAGCATAATGCACCGCCGCCATTGCCGCGGTCGCAAGCTGCGGTCAGCGCCGGCAAGAAACCTTCTCGAAAACCCCATTGGCTAGAGCTGGCGATATTTTCTCAATGATGTCAAAGTGTTTAGTAGCGAATATTGCTCGGAGGCTACCCGAATAACTTCGTTCTTCCATACAAACCCAAATACAATTTGGGGATTGTGGCAATATCTCGTCAGAGGAAGCGAATTTGTAGAAACCAATGACAACACAACTTGTCAGTCGAAATTCCTCTACCATCCTACGTGCACAGTCAAAAACCATAACTTGACTAGACACACTCCTTCAAGAATAACGTCACAACTGAGCACTGAATATAAGTAAAAATATAAAATCATAGACAAAAGGCAGGAACGGAAGGGAGGAAGGCTCAAAACACAAGGACATGTCGGTATTTGTGTTTAAACAAGTACACCCTCAACAAACACCATCAGCTCCTCTGGAATTTGAAGGACTACGGGCGAGTTGACCCGTCTGCTATTGTGAAATTCTGACACGGTGTCTGGCAGCGACTCTGACGTCATGCAAACTTTTCATGACACAATCAAACGATGACATATTGGGTGATATATTAATTAAATGGCTAATTCCGTTTGGCTGTAGTGCAGTTTTTTTTTTACCTTAAAAGCTTACCGATTGTTGCAAGTGAGGCTTGTTTAATCCGACCTGACGCTCTGCCCTCAATATCTTCAAGTGTGAAACATTCCCGCTAAATTATCAGACACGCCCGGGGGCGTAACGCCGTGCTCGCTCCAACCCTGGCGCGCGATTGCGAGCTGCGCTTCCCCCCCCCCCCCCGCCCCGCCCCCCTCCTTCCGCCCCCTCTCGCTGTCACCGGAAGTCAGCCGTGATCGGGGAAGGGGAAGCTGGGGGCGGGGAAGACAGCTGACAGGAGAAACGGCATTCCGATGAAGACGGACGACCCAGCGACAGGTGCCGACGCCTGAGAGTGGGGGAGGCTGGCCAACATCCGAGCGCGGCAGACGAACTTTTAGAGTGAGATGGCAGCCTTCAGCGACACCAAATGCTGAAGAAGCAGTGAGTGTTCATTATTTGGTCAGGGATGGCTCGTGCCCCATGCCATCTCGTCAGCCACTGTTGCGCAGGTGCGCACAGCCTCCTCTTGATTGTGTTGTTTTTCACCGCGAACAATAACATAGTAAAGAAGAGACAAAATGAAGGAAAGAGAACAAAAGGCCGCGAACTTCGATATTTTATGTCTGCATGTTTATTAGTTCGGGACCACCACAATCCGCCATATGCATCTCGTGAGCGTAAGATTCTTGCGCTGGTTGTTTTGAGTACACTCCACCGTCCTCGGACATTTCAAATTACTGAGCACGACGATTAAAAAATGCACCCGGATGCGCGGATTTGCTAAAGGTGTGTTGGCCGCGTTCCGATTGCCGCGAAATAACTTCTTCTTGGCCAAACTTAGCTTATTGAATGACTTAGCTAACTTGGAGCATATTGATATCGCTTCGTCTGACATGAATGGCAGACGATCGTTTGAACTACAAGCTCTGGAGTAGCCTTGCGTGCAAAGAAACGCAGAAGCAGACCTACACTTTCTCTGCATTCTGAAACGATGGTAACCTGGCTAGGTAAAATGCCCGCACGAATGTGAGGATAAAAAGTTAATTTCGTCTAAGTAAGGCCTTTATGGTCGCGCAGGTATACAGCTAACGGGCACGCCGATGCACTTCGTCGCTGGAAGTGGCCGAAAGTTAGGCAACAGGGGCGGTCTAGTTCCAAGCACCGGCGAAAAATCGTCGAGTCTTCTTGGTAAATATCCCTCCGCAAAATGTTGAAGGCATTGTGGTCCAGGGAACGCACCGTCTATGGTACTGAGGCTAGTGGCCTCAGTATCCTTTGCAAGAAGCGCTATGACAAAACTCAGCGTGTTCTCGAGCCAACATAGCCTCTATCATCTCCATGATGTTTATTTGAGCGGCAAGCCGAG